ATTGAATATTAGACTCCCACCAACATCCTTCCCTTGTGTCCCAGCATGCAGTGGGGCATGAAGAGGCACAGAGAACAGACTGGAGACCTGTTCCAAAAACCACAGAGAGAACGCCTGTTGACTTATTCCTTCTTCAGACCCTCAACAAGACTGGACTCACACAAGTGCACTCAGTAATGGCCTCGCAAATTAAAAAACCCAAGGCAGAAATATGACCAGAATGTGATTCCTGCTGCAAATAATGACTCCTAAACAAGGAGTGTGGAGTTTGCATGTTCTCCCTGTGCCTGCACGTATATTTGTTAAGCTTTTCTGATTTTTGTTTTGTTTAGAGTTTTGTAACAGAAACAAATTGGACCAGAGCAAGATGGGTTAATCTGATTTGAAGAAATTTTATATTTTTTATTTGTAGAAAAAAGCCCCCTTTGAGTCACTTTTTGAGTCTTTGGGTGAGATTTGACAAAGTGAGGGCGGTCTTCTCTTTCTCACTATTCTATCTGAAAAAGCTGATGTAAAGATGTGACAGAGTTCATGTGAAAACTTGTGTTAGAGCCAAAGCCAGGAGTTAGAATTTGTTGCATAGATTCTTGTACAGAGTGGTTTGAAATTAGCTACCCAAGCTTTTAGTTTTGGTGATGGACAAGTTTATTCCATTCTGAAGCAGTAAGTATGTGTATTACAAACATATGAATCTCTCAGAACACATCGCACACACAGCTCTTTCCTGCACACTGACTATATATGTATATAACATAATAGATGTATTGACCTGTTGTAAATATGCATAAATATTAGGTGCTGCCACAGAGGAAGGAATGCAGATATTTGCCTTCTGAGCAAATGACTTGTGAACTCCTCTCAGAGCCTTCATCTGACCTCTACTTTCAGCTCACGGCCCAAAGACTGTCCCTACACTGAAGCCATTGTCCCACATTATTTACACAAACACCGCCCGACCCAAGAACCGCTCCAATGTTTAAACTTAATTTTGGTCAATGCGTTAGGTATTTCAGAAATGTTGTGAAGATTTGTTACACTTTTGGTCATCAATGACACGGAGCAACACAGGTTTATGAAACAAGACCCTGAAAACGCTCAGAATTATGTAGGTTCACTTTATAGAATAGGTGTGATCCTTTTTTCCAACTGGAATTCTTGGACATCATCTGGGAGCATTCTGCTGCGTTCCCTGGCCAGTTGACCTGTGTCCTGGGTCCTCCCTGAGGTTTGCTCTCAGGGGTACCTCAACTGGTCCTCTTGATGTGGAAAAGCAGCGGCCATACAGTGGACAGTAGCCTCACTACCTCTCAGAGCGACCTCAGTACATGCGGCTGCGCAGCTGTGAGTCTGAGGTGGTAGTCTGACTCTGCAGCACTGGGGCCCCTCAGGGCACTGTCCTCTCACCGTTTCTCTTCACCATCTACACCTCAGACTTCACACACGACACACACAGCTGTCACCTGCAGAAGTTCTCCGATGACTCCGCCATTGTGGGCTGTATGTCTGAGGGGAACGAACTGGAATATCGGTCGGTTATCAAGGACTTTGTCGACTGGTGTGAGCGCAACCACTTGTGCTTGAACACCAGTAAGACCAAGGAGATGATCATCGACTTCAGGAGAAAACCACTTTCCCACACGCTGCTGAACATCCAGGGGGAGGACATTGAGCTGGTGGACAGCTTCAAGTACCTGGGTGTTCACATTAACAATAAACTCGACTGGTCCCATAATACCAACTGTACAAGAAGGGCCAAAGTTGCCTCTTCCTTCTGAGGAGCCTGAGGTCCTTCGGAGTGAGCAGGCCTCTGCTCAGGACTTTTTATGACTCTGTGGTAGCTTCTGCTATTTACTACGCTGCCGTGTGCTGGGCCCCGGGCAGCACAGAGCGGGACAGAAACAGACTGAACAAGCTGGTCAGGAGGGCCAGCTCCACTCTGGGCTGCTCCCTGGACTCTGTGGAGGAGGTGAGGGACAGGAGGGTGCTAGCCAAAGCCACCTCCATCATGAACAATACCTCCCACCCACTGCACAGGACTGTAGAGGAGCTGAGGAGCTCCTTCAGTGGAAGACTGAGGCACCCTCAGTGTAGGAAGGAGCGCTACCGCAGGGCCTTTATCCCCACCGCTGTCAGACTGTACAATAAGTCACTTTAAATGATCACTGTGTGAAAACCTGCACTACGATTGACACTGTTTCCAATTGACACTTGTCACTTTTGTTGCACATAATTATTGTCACTTTTATTGTACATATATCCTGCATGTAACATGTTTGCACATTTCCTCCTTTTGCACAATCTGAGTGTCTCTATCCATGCCAAATGTGACATGTAAGGCCCTGTTTATACTGAGACGCTGCGCAGACGTTTCCAGGCTATTAACAGAAACGACCTGGCTCCTAATGCAAATTTCTCAGCGTTCACATGAGGTTGAAAAACGATGTAGTTCTAGCGCCCGGCCAGTAGTGGGCAGAGAAACTTTACAACACGACACACAACCCCCAGCCCCATGCCCAGCTCCCCTCTCGGTAGTGTACTCACTTCCTGTGCCAGACCCTCAGAACGTACCAACATCATTCTGCATTTTAACAGCAGCTGTGAACATGGAAACTGAACCTAGAGCTTCGCGTGGTTTCGTTTGGACGAACGAAAGTGTAGAATTATCCTCTATGCTGCGCTGGAAGTCCACGAAGCTAGTTAGTGCGACCGCCGCCATTGTTGTTGATGTTTGTTCTCCGCTACTGCGCATGTCCAAATTTACATGCGGGGAGCAGCGCGGAGGCGGGGGTCAGAGCACAGGGGGATTTCACACCTTTTTCCCTCTCGCTGGTGTGAAAGAGAGCCCCCGCTGTGCAGCGTTTCTGAGTTGTCCCACTCTGCAGGCTGGATCTGAACACTTACGTTTTCACCCCCCTGAAACACAGTCTTCGTATGAACGGTTGGTAGAAACCGACATCCAACTATACCGTTTTACTGCCACATTGTCTCCTTGTAAACTCAGCCTAAATTTCTCCTCTGTGAGATAAATAACGCACATCTTATCTTATCTTATCTTATCTTATCTAAACCAAGCTCCCACATGACGGAGCTCCTCCCCCTATGCCCAGTCACTCTGTGGTGAAAACTCATTATGGATTTGTAATTTCATTGATTCGGTCCCCAAAGCTCATGACCAAAAGTGAGGGGAATGTAGATTGAGTGATAAATGATAAATAATCTAAAGTTCAAGTTTAAGTTAAAGAAATATTAGATAATCTATAGAATACAGTATGCATTTCAGTTTGGCGAGGTCTGGCCAAAACATTGCACTAATTATCACACTATTCTTATGTAGATATTGACATTGACATTAAATTCATGGGCTGTCCAGTCGAAATGGTTAAAGAACATCTCCATTTAGGATTCTGGATTACAAACGATCTAAAATTTGACAAACAAGTCGACCACGCCTGCCGAAAGGTGGCATCTCAAATGTTCCTCCTTCGTAGACTCTCCCTCTCTGTTAAAGACAAAAATCTACTAACAAGACTGTACAAATGTTATATTCTTCCTCACTTTGAGTATGCGTCACCTGTCTGGGCTGCGCTAAATGTCACACAAACTAACCGCTTGGAAAAACTCCAACGCCGAGCCATCAGGATCATACTACACTACCCCTATACACAACCAGTTACAGATGGGGATTATGAAGAACTCAAACTGGCTTCTTTAAAACATAGAAGAAACTTTGCAGTGATGTGCTATGGCTACAAGCTGTTACGTGGTTTACTCCCAAAGGCTCTCCAGTCCTTTTGTCCCATTATTAAACGAACTCCTATTCAAACACGGAATAAAACACTCGTCCACCCGGGCATAGAATTCCCCACGAGTCGAGCATTGGACCGATCTCCATTCCTATTTTTAACAAAGCTATTAAACAAATCTCCCGAGCTGTGGGACTGTCCCACCTTGGACAATTTTAAAAACAAATTATGGGACATCAAGCATAGGCTGATTTTTGATACTATGTTTTAATATTTAAGAAACCAGCCGTCAATGCCTTCGGGCACGACGTTTCTACATAAAAGTTGTATTAAAAAAAAAAAAAAACCCATTTCAGCACTAATCTCTGAGAAAAACCCAATTCACAATTTGTCACAGCCAACTGTGGACAAACAAACAAAAGAATCGGATCTCTGCAGTAAATCCACAGAGGGTGCAAAGGTTTGTAATGTGAACATGGCCTAAGTGTCTGTAATTACAAAGGAAAGAGCGCTTGAGGAAGGATCAGGGAGGGCAGAGAATATGCTAACGCTCAGGCACATTTTGGGAACAAATACTGAAAAACTGCCAATTTCAACTGCTAAGATCTGGAAACAAAAACTCATATGTGAATTTTCTGGTGATGCTTCTACCACCAGCAACTTACTGTATCTCTTAGCAGACGGATATACATAATAGCAAATACTGTAGATTAAAGTGAGAATAAACATGAAAGGACCATACAACCGTCAACGACTGTCTCATTTTCTCATCATGGAAGCTAAGAAGGGATTAACTAGTCAGCATTTGGATGGGAGATACCTGACTGACCCCTCACAAACTGGGCAAAATGGCAATGTTTCATTGTGCAAGACTCACGTTTTCACCAATCCCATCATCTCATGCAAAGGTGACCATGATCATTCACAGACCGGCCTCAATAATGTCTTTGTATCGAGATAATTAATAATGCACAAAATTCAAAAGCCGCTTGGAGAGATTGTAAAAGTGATATAAAAGACTAATGTACATTTTTATTCTTAATAATCCCTGTTTCATAGATAAAAAGATCACAATTCTCCTACATATGGGGACGTTAACTTGAAACAGCATGTGCATATTTTCAAGGATGATCAAACACAGCTGGCATCAATAGTCTGGGAACCACAACTCACACACAAGATTAAAGCACCATTTCAGCCTCAGACATAAGTTCGAAACAGGCACTTGTGTATGAATTGAATTTCAGCGTGTCTTACCTGGAAGCCTTCATCTTGGTTCTTGGAGCCAAAGAAAGTTTCTCCGTCAGCGCTGATGGTGCCTTGGTCACTTCTGGCCAGAGGTTTGGTGATCTTTGTTTTACAGTCAACGATGAAGGTCACAGTCTTCTTGTCTACACTGATCGCCACACGATGCCATCTGATGGACACACACACGAGAAAAGGAGGTCAGAGGCTAGGGCAATGTAAACTAGACAATAGTTTATCTCTTTTTTATTGTCATTGTATTTAAATTGTTAAAACTGAAGTATCTCATTTGTGTTCCTCATTATGTCCATTAAGTCCATGTTACTAGTTACTATTTAGAATACTGTATTGTTATTTGTATTTTAGGTCTCTGACAAATCTTTAGATGTGAGTACCAGTGGGTGCCTCACTCAGTCAAGCAAATATATAAACAATAACACATTTTCTAATAAAACAGATTCGGATCTCTTTTCAAAATGTTGGTTGCCTGTTAAGCAAAAAGAATTCATGAAAAAAAAAATGTTTTACTTGAATGACACAGCAGTGATAAGAGCAAATGAAACATCTGCTAAACTATTTAAACTTAAGAAATGTTACATTGCATGTACATTATTTGTAAGATACAATTTCAGAAAGCTGTAAAAGAAGAATATACTGTACAAGTGTGAGATGAGGGGGTGGTTTTTTATAATGGCGGAACCATAACTCGCACAGACGTGCATTCATCAGTTGTAAAGGTAAACTTGGGTCACACGTGAGCGTGACACCTTACTTGCCTTTGCAGCGCTGGTCAGTGCATTTAAGAGCTATCGCATACCAGGCAGCAGTGGACCACATTCTTGCCCCCACACTTTGGCCCTGTTTAACACGGGATTACACTCATTAAACTCCAAACTTAATCCTCCTTCTGGGTTACTCGGCATGACAGACGTGGTGAACATTGTAGAAAGTGAGTGTCAGGATCCAGGAAGCCTCGTCTTGCCAAGAGCAGGAGCCAGACAGTCATAACATTGTTCTGTGGAAATGGATGTGTTTGATATGATGATCTTTTTATGTCTATAAATTGATAAATGTGCTCGTTTCTTAAAGCAGATTCATGTTGAGATCCATAGCAAAGAAAAGCACGGTGTTCTTGACAATGTGAACTGAACGTGCTGCTTTTCTGGGTTTAGTGACAAAGCAGAGAGGATTACCAGTCACCTCAAATGGCATTCTTATAAAGATATTAGAATGTTTGTACAATTTCCAAAGCCATTACAACTGTGTCACCACTACTGTCAAAAGCCCAAAGCTATGTTATGAAATCGCAATTCAAAAGATGAAGCTTAAGCGGAAGATCAAGTTGGTAGACTACCTACGTCATCGCACCAGGCCCACGCCTTCCTCAGCCTCACATCAGCTTCATCAACTCCCTGCCAGCCGTGTTAATAAAGCCATCACTCAAATGCGGACACCACACACTAAACAGCCTTTTCAAGCCGCATCCACCTCCACCTCAAAATTTCTTCACACGCTTACATCCACCTTATCCTGTTGCCACCACCAGTGTCTAGGCCCCGGGGATCATGATCTGCACTCGAGCACAGATCCACACAAAGCAAGGCCACAGCCAAGGCCTATGCGCTGGCTGTGTGTAATAAACTACAAACATAAATTGCAATCAATAAATATAAAAACAAAAAAATCTTGTCTCTAGTAGTCTCTCCATGGCGACTCTATTCATACATAATTAGCAAATTTAAAGTATCCCTGATAGCCACTTTTTGAATGGTGAGCGAGACTTTTTGTTCCAAGGCAAACACTAACTCACACACACTGCTTCCTGATTGGACGGAATTCATTTCAATTTTCCTGGATACACATGAAAAGCGCCTTGCTATTGATCAAACCATTCTCCTCCAGCAAATCTCAATATTGGCGGTTATTAACTCAAAATAAAACTGACAGAAGTTGACAAAAAGACTTAGAAAAAAAGAGAAAGAAAAGGTTTCCATCTTACATTACAATTACAACAGCATCAGTTAACTGTTAATAAACCTATCCCCGGAAGTCAGCAAAAGCTTAACATGGAGTCAGAGGGATGTATGACCGGAGCTTGACCCACTTCAAACCACAGATAGCGTGTTTATGAAGTCTAATAAAGCTTTATTCACAAAGAGCAAGCAATGTGCTGCAGGAAAGAAATCTCTAGCCTATATATAGCACATAGGCTAACAGAGCTTTTATTTGCCTGGAGCGCCAGTAAAGAAGCTAAAGCTAAGTGTTGTTTAACAATTTGTGAGGTAATAAGCAAAATGGTAGTTAAATGAGTGCCTCGACTCTCCTGTTTCCTCTTTGCGGCCTCCTCCCAAAAATAACAGCTCAGTGAGTTCATGGAGGAGGTCAGGTTGCCCATAGCAGTCCCCGCTGGGCCACAATAATCCAGTGTCTTCCAGTGTCTCCATTTCTCGGACCAGGCTAAGAGCTGCTGACCCCCAGAGGGACAGATAATCCGGAGATGGGCACCCACAGAGTCACACTGGTCATGTCTGCCCTGCGCTCCCACATGAAGGCCAAGACAGTGAATGTACTTAACCCTTTAAGAAAGCAATGCAATTTTTTTCTTTTTATGTATGTATGAAGATGAATAATTTAAAATATTTTGCCTGAAACCAAGGGAGAAGCCCCAAAGAGGTAGATTTCAGTTCCAAGCTTCAATTAGATACAGTATAGTGATTCAAAAAGTTATCTACAAAATGGTTGAGGAATTGATTATGGTGAGCATGCAAATTAGAAAGAGCTCCTCAGACGTCAAAGAGTGAAGTGGCCAACACACAGATGGTGGAGATCAGAAAACTCCGCATACGCAATTTCAATTATCCACTCTATATTAGTGTTGTCACAATATTACATGTAATTTTTTTTTTGTAAATGCTCACTGTAATCCTTAAAGGTGACAGCTGTTGAAAATCAAACAATTTTAGTAATTAATAGTGAGACTTTTGAAACCCAAATGGATATGAGACAATTTTGCTTTTTATACCAAATTACTATAATGTTTCAAAACTTGTAAGACACTTGCAACTATTGTGAGAATGTCAACATGTTGTCTTTAAACAAAAAAAAAAACGTATGGTGGGTTTGTCTTTGTTAGTAGTTGGGAGAGAAAAAAAGAAAATATAATCAGAACCAAACAACTTAAAACAATGACAATGTTCCTTCCTTCAATCAGTCATTTTAATGAACGCCGATCCTTTCAAATGATGTGATGATAATAAAAGCGAAAGAGGGCACCAGATTTAGATTGTCCTCATCACATCTGCTGCTGTTTTAATATCAGGGTGTGTCTAACTACATGTTGAGTTAACATACTTTCCATCAGCCAAGTTGAGTGTATTGAAGAGCGGGTACTCCTCGGGGGAAGGTTTGCCATTCTGATCCTCGTACAAGAAGACAGGGGATCTCCTGAGCTCCACTCCCAATTGTTGGACTCCCTGTGCATTATAGATGGACAGCAGGAAGGACTGGAGGCTGGACTTTGGCCGGACTGTGGTCAGGATGGAAAAATCTTCTGGGAAAGCGCCATCTAGAGAAAGGAAATGTTTTGATATTAGGGTGTGCTTGATTAATCCTGTTCTCTGCATTTAGTTAATCATTCTATTAAAATGGCATTCAGCGCTTGGGGGCCGTCACCTTAGTCAAAACCTACTTAGCTGAGGGCTGTTAAAGCTGGGGTACCTAATTTTCAAACCACATAAAATGGAACAGCGTGATAAAATAATTAGCGTATACATGCACAAATAAGGGGCGACAGTAGCTCAGTTGGTAGAGCATTGGCCTTAAGCCCAGAAGGTCGTGGGTTCAATTCCCACCTCTGCACCTTCTCCACCGACTCCCACTGATGACTGCTGTCGTTGTGTCCTTGGGCAAAAAACGTAACCCCACTTTGCCCAAAGCCCCCACTGAAAGATCAAGGCTATGCTCACACTCAGAGAGCAGCCGTCCTCCTGTGGACTCACCACCTGCAGAGGGTCAGTGAGGGGCTGGTGCTATGAGACTTGGGTGGCATCTCTGACTGCCACCCCCCTGACCCAGAAATGGATTAAAGGGTAGAAAATGGATGGATGGAAATGGATGGATGGCTCTCATTCAATTGGCTCCTTTTAATAGATACATGAGACAGAGACATTTTTTTATTGTTTCTGTTGGACAAAATTAAATGTATCATTTATGAAACAAAATGTTAGGTACCTCAGCTTCAATAAGACATGTTTTCAGTTGTAGTTTTCTGTAGCCTGACCAGCAAGACCCACATGTGTTGGAGGTACAGTAGAGGATCTGGCTGGTCAGACTCGGTTTAGTTCACACAACTAGGATATGTTTGATATGACGCGTAAGTGTTAGTTTAAGGTCCTATATCCCTCATGTTGTGTTAGGAATCGGCACCATTGCCCGTTGTTAGCGGGTCAATTTTGACCCGCTTATATTCTTTATAATAAAGATGAGATAAGATACACTTTATAGATCTCACACAGGAGAAATGTACATGTCACATTTGGCATGGATAGAATCACTCAAGATTTGTGCAAAAGAAAGAAGTGTGCAAACATGTTAAAGGCAAAAAATTATAGTGTTATCAGGATTATCTGCCCTGGCATATTCAAATGCACCATGTCTAATAACATTTTGGAGACGATAAAGTGAATCTGGGGCATTAGTGTAATTGTAAGGACTCGAGGGCAGACTTACCAGGGAACAGGAGTGTGGTGGGGGCCTTGAGCTGGGCCTGGCTGGTAACTCTATAAGCAATGTCTGGCTTCGATGCTCGTCGATGTGTGCAAAATCCTGATGTTTTCGTCACTCCTTCAGGGGCACTTTGAAATTCTAATACTTTTATGAAGTCCACTGGCTCTGCTGTTGGAAGACAACAAACACATCATTAGAGACGGTGGATGGAGGGAACTTTGGAACTAGGTAAACACAGATATCATGAAAACTGTGATCAATGAAAAAACTGACAATAACAGACAGTATGAAAAATCGCACATTTTCAATACAATACAACTTGTGATACATTTGGTATGTCACACAGGTCAGCTGCCTTAACTGTAACTTAAATAAGCTTCATGTTTTCATACTCCTTGAGAAAAATGTCCCGGCTAACAACACCATTTCTGAATGTTGATTTTAACACCTGGATCATTTGACCTGGATGAGAGGTCACAACATACTGACAGACACTTCCGTCTCTGCACAGGGACACATTGAATCAGCCTTTTACAGTGAATATACAGCGTTTATTTTGAAATCAAAGACTTGATAAGATTAAAATACTTAACCTGAAGAATAACACCAATTCCTCAATAATAAAATGACATAATCAAGTCATATTTCACTTTGCCATTGAGGAGTAAAGCTCCAAATTGATTGGCTGGGTGTTGGGTGAGGTCAACCCAGTTCCTCAGATTCACAAATTCATGAAGTGTTAAACGGGGAACCTTTACATTCCAACAGCCAACATGAAAAGGCTGAAAACAAGTCCAGTTCTGTCAAGAGCTTACATTCATGTATATTTTCAGTAGAACAGGATGGCACAAGCTTGACATAGCATCGGTCTCTACGTAAACCCTGAACACAGTTAAGCCTGGCCGCATCTAAATGTTCACTTTCATAATGCAGTGTATGAAAAAGATGTGCACAATTAAACAGGAATAAACGTGTATAGCTTCAATTGTAGAAGAGAACAAATTTTCAGATAACAGATTATTCTAATAGCTTAAGTGCTTTTTCTTTTTAAAGAATTACCCTTGCATGTTGTTGGCCTAATTTAAAACTGAGAATTACTATTTCTGTTTAATTTTGTTTCCTGTTCATGCAAAAAAATGAAAGAAACACATTTGATTGATGATATATCACCCTGATCTTTTGGCCTGAACATGAGGCAGAGATCGGCAATGTTTTGTATCTTATCACTTAGCACGTCTGCCCTTGTTGTCCTTTGGGACATGGACTGTACTTTATTTGGACACTGAACTGAGGCCTCATTGTGAACTCCTGCAGCGTTGCACTAGGGGCTCATCTGTTCCAGATGTGGTCGTTTGGCCGGGCAGCAACCCTCACACTAAGGTGCTGAGAAAATGTCAACAAAGGCCAATCCATTAAGGCAAGCCAAATGAGCGTGGGCCCACAGAGGATGGGAGTCAATGGTGAGACTTCCAGCCAATCAGAGCACGCCGCTTCCAGTTTTCATTCTCACATCCTTATTCAAATATGGCAGACAAGGGAAGGGGAGGGGCTTTTGTTATTACCATATTATCATAACTAAACTGCCATGTTTGCATGTTTCACAGATGTTGAATGTGATTCAACATAACATGACAGTAGTTCTAGGACAATGGCCAGAGAACCTCTTTCACTGCATCATTGATCGTGCCAACTCTGCAGACCTAAACATATTAGCAGCTCGTCTTGCTGAAAAAAGTGAAAATGGCTGGTAAACGGAGGAGGACCTTTTCACCTGCAGCTCCTTGGGACTCTAATAATATCTTGAGCCAGAGTCTCACCCCCCACCCTTCACTCACCCTCTTTCCGATTGCTACCACCACGCTCCCAGCTAAAACAAGACGGCTTTATACTGCTGTCATACCAAGGAAACAGGGGCCTACCCAAGGACCAACCCACTTTGCAGCCTTTTTTATTTCAATTTCACTTTCTTTTAATTTTCATCAGGTATACAGAGTAAAACTGTACTCCTATGAGTACAGTCTTCTCTAGTGTAATCCGAAATAGAAGTTTTCTAACCTAAAAGTTTGGAAACAAACATCCACAAAGGGAAACACAACTGGAGTTGCAAAATTGAAAGGGAATAAAATAGCACTGAACCTGATAAAGCTGATCTTTTTAATTTATTTTAAGAGTGAAGTTTTGATAAGGACTCTGAAAATACTAGCTTTGTGTGCTGGAATGCACCTCTGAGTCTGTGCCCCAGGGGTTGAGAAAACGTGTCTGTACACCGCTGGATGTGGAGGCTCCCTGCAGAAACACTCCGGCTGCTGTAAAGACTCATATTCTCCGAGGACGGAGGGACCAAGATCAGGGCCTCCAGCGGAATACTTTACACATGCAGGGTAATGATTTAGGACTCTCATCTTCTCTCCAAGTGTGATGTGGTCTAATGGAGCAATCTGGAGACATGTGGAAAATGCCCTGAAGCATCCTTTTTGTACGTTTAACTTCAAACTAGAGATAAAACTTCTCCCAGAAGTCTCAATTCCTTCAGAAGTAGATTTCAGGTGCAAGGCCTGTCCACACTTTGGTTCTTGTGACTCCTATGGCTGCAGGCTATAGGCCCAGACCACAGGCCAGCTCTTTGAAGGCTCTTAAATCATAGGGAAGTGCTACAAGTACCATCATCAAATAACTGCTCAGTACTTAGGACGGGAAGCATTCCCACCGGCCTCACAGTCCACACAACACTGCCTTGTCCCGTACCCAGCAAACATCTAGGTGCAAAGTGGAAAGGGGAAGAGCCAGGTTCCTCATGAGGTGGGGGCATATAGTGGGCTTCGTGTGGACCAGGCCAGTGTGGAGATAGGGTGAGCAGAGGGATGCCTTCATCTAAGCTGACACACAAACCAACTATGTTCTTTGAGCAAAGAATATTTGTTGTGTCTTTAACACTACACAAACTTAAGCATTACATTCTGAATGAAACATTGTGTTATATTTGTATCCTATACATAAAAGTTGATCATCACTACCAGTCGATATTGACCCATATGTTTCGAATAAAAAGAGAGTTTTGGAGGATGCCTGTGTAATACCTCACTGCAGTCAGCCTGACATGCTGCAAGGACAGAAGTTTATCTTTTTGTCCATGTGTCCACACTTTAAACACGTTATTTTCTTCTAACCTCAAGTAAATCCCAAAAGGTTGTCTGTCCTCTGGACGAGCACATAGCACACGATGGATGAACTAAATTAGGAGATGTGCTTTATCTTGCAATCATGCGTAAAATTGCCATTGGTCAGTTGTGTTGTAATTCATTTTGTGTTTTGGGACTATGAACTATGTTCACATCTAATTAGGAGAGCGTCCTTTGAGCCTGCGCGTTTGGCTTTTTCCAGTAACTTCTATATCGATTAGGCTACACTCAAAAGTTGTGCGTGATTCATGTCAATGACTACATTATGCGTGTTCGACTCTTGGTTCAAAAACTCCGTCGTAAAGAAGAAGCGACAGGTTTATTCCATGCCCAGATCATCTCCATCCTCTGTTTCAGAGCTCCGGGGGCAGTGCTCTCTCGCTCCGTGCCTTTTCGGAGATTCAGTTTGGCCGCGGATCTTCTTACCTGCTTTGACATGAGACGCGTGTAGAACCAGACTTAAAGTGATGAATGCAGTTACAGTGGAATCCATAATCCACCGTCTCGTTTTCCACCTTGTGGAGCACCTTTGCATCTCCATGGCCAGGCGCCCACAAGTCAAGCAAACTCTGGGCGACTCTCAGTAGATTTGTACAGGCGTCCCTTCCACAATCCCAAATGATGGTGTAAAGTGTCCTACAAAAGAGCCATAGGTGAGCGTGTGTCCTCTTCTGTCAGCCACAACGAGGCCCCGATCCTCCTTCCCAGCGGCCAGCCCTCACAGTGAAGGGAGTCGGGCTTTAACAGCGCGCACACAGAGCAGACTGTACTGCACTTGGAGCGTCCGCGCACGGGAGGGCTGGGCGAGCTCCACAAACCAGCGCCACGATTACAGGGACCTGACACAGCACCCAGCCCCCGATTAGCAAATCACGGGGCTAGAAATTCTCCCGCAGGTCCACCCAGGCTTTGTATGAGCCCCCAATCTGAGAGCAGGGCATCTGGGACAACACACACGTTGATACATGGGGCAACAAAAACTGGGTGTGTCCTTCACATGTTCTTTGATTGGCCGACACTGGGTTTCATTGGGCTGTATTCTCACACAACAGCATTCATCCAAACCCACTCAGTAATACAAGTTTAGGATGGCACACGTTACTGGCCCGCCAGGAAACGGGTCAATTACTGTGATCCCAATGTCATCAAGGAATCCTGTCAGAGCAGTGCAGTGCATCTGCCCAGATGTTTATGCACAGATTGCCAGGATCTGAGCTGGAGGATTCATGTTCTGGATGGACCCAAACCCCTGACCTTGATGCTCTGAGAATATAACCTAAGCTTTAGGGGACAATAAGCAACATTTGCCCTCGCCTCTTCACTGCCACATGGGCACAATCCTATATTATTCACATTGTACAATTTCGCACACAGCTGATCACACAAATTATCAATTAAAAATCTCCTTACACTTTATCATTGGGTGTCAAAGTCAAGGCCCGCTGGACGGAATGAATTATGTTGGCCCCCGGGATGGCCTGAGATTAGTTGAACCGGCCTGCACAGAGCCATCAGAAAATATTGGATTGTTCATTTAATGTTCAGGACATGTGTATTCTCTTCGAATTAAGTTTGCTTTTGTCTGTGACAAAAACAAACTTCTGACAGAGCCATAGAGAAATATTGGATTATTAATTTAGTCATTAAAATATGATACACTGTGTTGGTTCAATGGGTTATGCAATCATTTTAATGTTTTGATACACATTGAACCAGTCAAGTTAGGGGCTGGTGCTCTGTGAATTGGGTGGCATCTCTGACTGCAACCCCCCCCCAGCCCAGAAATGGATTAAAGGGGAAAAAATTATGGATGGATGAACCAGTCAAGCCCTTGGCTTGTAGCAAAGGTGTTTTTTTGGCCCTCTGATGTATTTGACTTTGACATCCCTGGTTTTATGGGTATTTTAAATGTCTGCTGTGACACAAATTTGCAATCACATTTAAGTCTCTTGTCGCTCTGGGGCACACATTAACTTCTTAGTCTACTACTTATTAGCCACAAATATGATGCGTCAGAAGTGATGGTCACCTTACAACTTTTCTTTTCTTTTCCTAAATGTATAATCTATGCCTGGTGGTGAGTGTAACCCTCACCATGCCTCACAACAAGATTTGTATTTAGTAATAGTGTGCAGCCTACAGATACATGTGTAGGGATTGGTGGTAGGACACTACAAGAAATGATAATGACCCTGGTCAATAGATAATGAATATCAAACAACACTACATCTAATGACAATGTGATGCATGAGTCAAAAGGCACTTGTACAATGAGCTCCTCAGCAGACAGAGGCCAGCCCAGTGCCCGTGCAGACCACCCCAGTGTCTGTGCCGCCTCTCACACAGAGGTCAGGGAGCACAGTCCACCTTTTGTGTCTTTTGGCTCAAAACATGGATTCTCCTCAGTCTCCGTCTGTCATCCATCTTGTCCCTCTCATCACTCTCATTCTGCCAAACACTATCAGATGTTCCAAAGAAAAGGCTCAGCTCAAACAGCCAGATCACAATACAGCACAAACAATGTGTCCAAACAATATCAAAAATATACTGTATTAAATGCTTTTTTTTTTTTTGACGAGTCACAGTGTTGTCATGCTAGTAAACAAGAAAACTGTCAAATAATAAATACATTACAATATGAAAACTGTAAAAAACAATAATACTACTAGGCCTATTTGGAGTAGATGCAGGCATGAAAACCACAAGCACATTAAATAGTTGAAGACGGACATCACATTTCAAAGAGCAATGACACAAAAGCTTGGATGTGATAGTATCATTGGGTCATTCTCAATTACTTAAAATGCGTTTTGTTCTAATCCAAACAAAAATAGATGGTTTCTTTAAGCTAAGTAAAAACAAAAAACTAATTCTGAACATAAGATTGCAAGACAGTGACAATATGCGCTCAGCAAAGCTTTCTTCCAGGGAGTCACTGAGCAAGACTGAAATCATCTGAACATGTAATGTATAAGTAAAAAACAACATTTTGATATAAGTTACAGTATAAAAACAGAAGTACTTTCACAGAGACATTTGAGGCAGCGAGCGGCCACTGTCTGCCCCTGTTTACACACGGATCCAGCTGAGTATAAAGAGCTCTTTCTCTGCTCTGCTCCAGTCCCCTGTTCAACCTGAGCTAGAAACTGCCCCCTTCATTTTCTAACACTATTTTTGACCATCACAAAATGTTTAGTTAGGACAACTGTACAAAGGTGTATAGATAATAGTGGTTTATGAGTCTGGTTACTGTGGGTAACCAGTGAAATAGGAATGTTCTTTGGCCTGTACCTCAAAAGAGGAGTTGTGGATTTAGTCTGAACATGTTTTACAGTAGTTTCCCTTCAGAATCAATTCAATCTGGAAAGACTCGAGAAAAAAGAATGTTCATTGTCAAGATTGCATGAATAGATAATTAAACCCCACAGACTCATTGATTGAGTGCTGATTAATGTGTTGCATTTGAACATGGATGTTCATTAAGCTCAGGTGGTTAGACCCCGGCAGGCGGTGATGGGGAGGAGGTGGGTTGCTGCTCAAAAAGCAGCTTGAAGCTGGAGAGCACTATCTCCAAGTAACAAACAGTCCAGGATCACAGTCAAAGTAGTTGTTGTTGAATTTCTCATTGGATACGGTTTAGAAGGGGGATAGGGTCATAGGTAAGGGTTATGGTTTGGGTTTGGGCTAGGGCTCATTGTGGTTAGGATTAAGGTTAGGTGAAGGGCTGTGGGGTTAATAAGACAATATCAGGATCAACAATGATCCTGGACAGCTAATTACCTTGCAATTTTTGCAAGAGGCCTCTTTACAAAGCAGGTTTCAATTCAGATTTCCATTTATACAGTATTTGTACCCAAGGTACATTTGTCTTACAGGTTATATTGGTGCTAATCACATATGTAATTGACATGTTCCCGGCAGCTTGTTGGGAATGTTATGGATTGGGCTCTTATTGAATGCCAGCCTATTTCAGAACAGGTACTCCCACAGTGCCAGCCATTTCTGATGATTTTTACTGATTTTTAAAGACCCACAGAATATTGTGTACTATGACTATCTGAAATCCGACACCAGATTCTAAAAGAATGGACTGTCTACTTTCCTCAGCAAAAAGAATTTTGTTTATAGCTTTTTTCGTTCCCCTGTAATCCTCCGTCGAGTAGAGGGAAGTTTTACTGAAATCACCAGAAATCACCAGAAAGTTGAGAAAAAAGAGGCACAACATGTGCACCTACATGTTTTCAAACCATTCAGAGAGCAATGCTGCCACCTGCTGGCTCGATAAAATATGGTCTCAAGTCATCCCCATACATATTAGATACAATAGACATCTGGGAACGTGAAAATAGCGAAAAAGGCAATTGACGGATTAATGCGTCAATGGCACACGACGTTACTATTTGCTTTGACGTATTTGTGCGTCAATGGGACACAATGAGTTAAGTGTTTTGGTTTTGGATTTCTGTTATTGTGCAGTTGCAAAGTTGCATTCAGTACTGTCTCCTTCTTTATCATATACCCTGAACCTTTATTTTAAACTATTTTATTATACAGCAGTTATGTCATAGGGACCTAATTTTTCCCCTGCTGAGTTCAAATATATTGAGGATTTATTTAAAGAAGGGCGATAACAACAATATCAACATCCTTCCCAGCTGTGAGGGCCCGCTGGTCTGGGCCACAGGTGTTCCTAATATGAAGCAGAATCATACAGTACTTCAGCATCTGAAAAGCAGGAGCAGAGCATGTATGTGTCTGAAAAAGAGGATGTCCCGCTGTCTGAGGCTCGAGGGGATCTACAATCAGAGCTTAGGTTCAAAGAAGAACCAAAATCCAGAGTCAGAGGTATACATATTGAGTAATAACAGTAGCTTGTAGTGAATGATTCATAATGGAACTATCTCTCTATTGGCAACGAAGCGTACAAGGAAACCTTTGACACGTCAGTATGGTATTTTCTCTTGTGTGAAAAATGAACATTATTCTTAAAATGTTATTGTATTAAATCATATGGCTCTTTGCATCCAGTGAGTACCTAATTCATTTCCATGTATTCTTGTATAGCCTTAAATCAGTTATCTCGAAAGACTTTACAAAACTGTTGAATTCACCAAAACAGATCAGAGAATCAAACAGTTCAAACACAAGAAATGCAATGATAAGAATAAACACATTGGCCATCGGTCCATCGGGGGCAGACGACCAATGTCCATAAAGTTGATACATGTCCATAAATGTTGTTGAATGTTTTGTCCTAGATCAACAATACAATACAATTACAATACAATGTTCTTGTATAGCCCTAAATCACAACAGTATGATCTCAGAGGACTTGACAAAACCATTGAAATCACCATCAATCTGACATTTAAAAAACTTAATTGATTACAGTTCAAATGGCTGCTATATACAGTCCATGTCCAAGTGTCGCAAATTTGCTCCTCACTATATTATAAATGTTATGACAATGTCCTTTGAGCATAGACAGTGGAG